AAGGGAAGGGAAGGGAAGGGAAGGGAAGGGAAGGGAAGGGAAGGGAAGGTGCCCCTTGCCCTGCAGCCTTCGTGGAGGGGTGCAAGGGGCTGCCTGCTGTGCCAGGAGCACACGGTTTATCTGAGGAACAGATTGCCGGAGCCCAGGTGTGCCCACATGGGAGGGTGAGGGGGCTGGGGGAGCAGAGGGAGCTGCTCTCTCCTGCAGGCTGCACTGCTGTGCCAGTTTGATTGCCTGAGCCCTGGGCTCACTGAGGATCTGCTCCCATCCCCACAGCACCTTTGGCCACTGTCCCACAGACGCTCCCTCCTGGGGCCACTGTGCTGATGGCCTTGGGAAGTCTGGGTGCCCTGCCCTGGATTCACAGCAGACGAGGTGGAAAAAGAAGGGTCACTGGCTCCAGGGACAAATATTGACTGAGATAAAATAAATCTTCCCTCTGAAAGCACAGAAAACATTGTGTTCTCTGAAACAGGTCTGGTATGTTTGATTGAACGTTTCTTTGTGAAAAAGTTCAGGATGTGTCGACATCAAAGGCACAAAGAGATTAAGGGAATTAGCCCAGCTCCTTTTAAACCCAAAACCAGAGCTGGCCCAGCTCTGCCCTGATCAGAAACCTGAGTTTGGGCTGGGCTACTGAGAAATATCAGTGGGAAGGGGCAGCCTATTTTATTGTTCCTTTGCCCCGGGACATTTTGAGAAGCCCAAAGCTTTGAAGTGTTCCACACCACTGGGACAGAAATTAAGAGTTTGGATTTATAGAGTTCCCTGTCAGAGCTATTCTGGCTTCATCTTTTAAAAACGGTTTTAATGGATTTCATGGGATTCACTGAAGCTAAATAAATTGGCACCAGGGCTCAGGTGGAGCTTGAACCAAAATTTCCTGGGTTTAAATTCTGCAGTTAGTTGGTTTTTTGTTTGTTTGTTTGCTTGCTTTTGTTACGGGTTTTTTTTGTTATGTTTTTTAATTGGAATAATGTCTTTTCTTATTTTACAGAGCTATAAAAAGCTTTCCTGTTGCTAAATTTTACCGTCACCTTTTGGGCATGTGTGTGTGCATGCTTTTAAATAGCCTATTGGGTCATGGGTAAATTAAGATTTTTTTTCGTTATTTTCGTACAAAATTGAGAGAGATGCACAACACTACAAACAGAAAGCAAGACCATGGATTTTTATCTGGGTTTAGATTCATTTTTATGAGACAAATTCAGTCTCAACAAGTTTCAGGGACCAGCCACGTAACAGAAGGAAGGAAGTGCAGAGATTCAGGTCTCTGTTTCACATTAAAAGAATTTTAAAAAACCCTGGGAGGCAAAACTGAGAGCACACAAAGCCAATAATCCCAGCAGCAGCTTTTCTCAGTATAGGAATGTAAATATTGTGCAAGGACAGGCAAAGCATATTCATTGCTTGACTGGTACTTTTACTCCAAACAGTGAAAAATCCCAAGCAGGGATTTGTGGAATTGTTTCCCTTGGTGTTTTCATTAGAACTTGTGAGCCACTGTTCACCCACTGGAATTTGGAGGAGGAAGGATAATAGCTCCAGGAGGATGCACTCTCTGTTCCTCCACAAAACTGTCAACCAATTTAAATTAAATTTAACTGAGGGCGAGCATCTTGTCTCAGCAGCACAGTTTCTACAGATTTCAAGGACAGAGGCAGCTGAGGAAAAATGCCCTGTGAATTGCCTGGGAGGGAAGTGCTGTACAACAAATGCCACCTCTGCTGTGCACCAGGTGATCCAAGAGGTAGGAAAATGTTACCAAGGAGAAAACGGGAACGGTTTATTCCTGATTTTTGGGTTTTGCTACACCAGCCACATGCCAAGGACTTAGATCTAGCTCAGCTCAGCAGTTTGGGGTTTCCCTAGTGGAATCTGGGGGTAATCATCTGCCCTAACATTAAAATTAAGAGAATTTTAGATGAGCTGTTCCTGGTCCCAGCAGCGCCAAATGCTGCTCTGCAGCATTAGAGAACAAGATTTTCTGTATGGAGGGATGTGGATATTCACACCACCTTCTTTAAAGTGTGGTGCCCTAAGTTTGGAGGCAATGAGCCCTCAGCTGACCTGAATGCACAGAAAAGCTTTTCTAGGGTAAGTTTCTACTCCTTTTTCCTACAGCTGTCCAAGCAAGCAAAGGACAAGCAGCTCCTAGCAGAGAATTCCACCTTCACCACCAGAAAGCCAGTTTCTTGCATTGTTAGTGAGAGAGACATGAAGGTATTCTGAAAGGCCATCACATTTTCCTGGGATATATAATAATTGCACTGTAATGACCTTGGGAAAAAACAATTTTAGTTTCTAAATCCACATCTGAAGAGTTTCAGCTATCCACAGGGATGGGAGGGAAGGTGAAAGAATACGTTTGCAGCTTACTGTTCCTGGCTAGTGGAAACATACATTTCCTTTAGTAAAAGTCTGAATGCTTACCAGTTGCAGTGTCAGCCTTGTCCCAAGATGAAAACGCAGTGTTTTTCTGAAAACCTCTGCTCCTTCAGTGAACTTTGGTGGCAGTAGCACACAGGTCACTAGCACCCCACACTACAGATTCACAAGTAATCACATTTCCCCTTAGCAAATGGCTAAAAAATAATCTGTCCTTGTAAACAAGAATTAGTGTCAGCAGTCTTAGAGCTTCAGATACTGTAAAATAAAGCCCAGAGTGTTTGTTAGTAACTATCCAGCCTGAAGGCAAACACCCATTCACACAAACCAGGCACTGGCAGGGACTCTACTGCAAGGAAACAAAACCAGGTCAGTGAGACAAGCAATGCAACATTTTCCCTGTGCTAGATTAGCACCTACCACTCCACAGTACTTACATTTATTAACCTTCAGCTTGCTTCCATCTACTGGAATTGGATCTATGTAATCCCAGTAATACTCGTAGGACCAGAAGTACTCGGAGGAGTTTGTGCTGTTGGCCATGTCAGCGGCGCCCTTTCAGCAGCCCAGAACTCCGACCCACAGCTTTGCCTCATGGCGCTGCATTGCCCTCAGAAAGGGAATTGCACAACCGGCGCCTGTGCCAATCGCTCGGGTCCCGCGGCTCAAGGACTGCCTGAGGACTGGAAACATCAGTGAGACAGTAACTCGTGTTGTTATTCCTCGGGATGTTTCAAACTGAGGCGGGCGCCCTGTAACCGAGGGACGGGGTGGACGGGTGCCAGCTGGATCACAGGCCCTTCCCTCAGAGCAGTGCTCTGTTCTGGGAGCTCCGGAGCACGGCCGGGCCGGAAAACATTCCCGAATGTGTCTGGTGGGAAGGGCTGGCTCTGCAGGGCCCACACCAGCAGTGGCTGAGGGCTTGTTCAGCGTGGAGGGGGCCGAGGTCAGGGCTCACCGGGCTGCGGCTCCTCCTGAGGGCAGCTCCGGGCTCTGCTCCCCGTGGCCAGGGACAGCACCCAGGGAAGGGCTGCAGCTGGGTCTGGAGGCGTTTAGGCTGGATTTCAGAGAAAGGGTCATCCCCAGAGGTGCTGGGCGCCGCGCAGGCTCCCCAGGGAATGGGCACAGCCCCACAGAGCTCCAGGAGTGTTTGGAGAGCGCTCCAGGGATACTCAGGGTGGGATTGCTGGGGGTCTGTGCAGGGCCAGGGGCAGGACTGTATGATCCTTGTGGGGCCCTTCCAGCTCGGGAAGTTCTCTGAATTAGGAGTGACTTGATAAAACGCTTCATGTACTGGAATACCCACATCCTTTGCTTTGGTTCCACGACCTTACGAGGTCCAAACGCCCCCGGGCGGGGCTGA